TGGCCACACCACTGAACATTTAAGCACCTGTCTCCCAGGCATCAATCCACTTAATACAATTCACCATATCCAAAACAGACAGCTGAGCTCTCTGCTACATGACCAAAGAAAATCAGGAAGCACAGAAGGAGACCCACCACAGGCAGAACCACAGTGCTGAAAAAGGAGCTTTGTAATCTAGTCTGTGAGAAAGCCTGAGGGCAGAGATAAGGGCTGAAAAGACTTCATCTGAGCTGGAGATCAAGTGACTGCCTCCTTTATTCAGGCACCTGGAAGTGCTGCCAAGGGCAATGCTTGGAGTCAGCCCATGCTTTCCTTCCATCCTGCCTGCTGAAGTTGCTCCAGGGTTCATGGGTTTGTCAACAGGCCAGAGACAGCAAGGCAGTGAAGGGAGGAGAGACAAACAGGGAGGGATCATCTGCTGTGGAAGAGACCTGACTGCTTATTCCCTCTCTACTGAACAGCTTGTTATGTTCAGGTTTCTCACTCTCATCCATTTACTGCTATCTGCAAATCCCATCTGTCCTGGCACAAAGGTGGCCTCAGGACCCTTTGAAGGGGAAATACACGGAGATGGTAGCATCACCATGAGTGCAGACAGGATCAGTGAAGAAGATCAGGATAGGCAAAGTGAACCAGACCTGCAGACACTGCAGTTAGGTGCATACTGGAGCAAGTGATAGGTTGAGGATCACATTTTCTTCTCGTTTCTTCCTTGGAGGACCCCCTGCTAGTATCAGAGCATGATTTTGGATCTATACAATGTAATGGCTTATACATTTGCTTGTCTGAAACACCATGCAGAGGTAACTTTTGATGTCCACGGTTTTTCAGCCTTTAGGCGAGGAGGTAGATGCCCCCTCACAAGAAGAGAGGGCTGGTGTGTAAAAAGATGGCTGGCACTGGTACCGTTTCTTCTGGCCACGCAGGTCTTGGAAAGCCTAGTTTTAGCAAAGAGCTCTGGATAATTAATATCTGCTGTGTCTCAGCTGCAGGAGCACTGAAGTAGAGCAGGATCATAGATGCAGCCTTGTTTGTGACATGACTTTCTCCAGGCAGCTGTGTGCAGGGCACTGAACTGGCTGCATGCACTGCATAAAGAGCCAAAGGGGGTACTTTATGAAACTAAGTTTCCTTCCTGGTTGCCATCAGCCTACACGCCTGGTTCTGTAAGTGTGCATCTTCACTACTAAATTTAGCTGATAGTCTTTGATAGTCTCTTCTTTCTCTTTTCTTCCCATCACAAGCACAGGCACACAAAAAAAAGCAGTGTAAAGAAAGCAGTTAATAGAAGAAGAAGGTCAGTAATAGCATTGCAACTTCCAATTTTACAATAATAGCCATGAGATGTGGTTGCTTTATATTGCTTCTTTCCTAAATCAGGGGCGGAATCGGAACAGATTCCTTTTCAAGCATTCAGCTAAACAGCCAGCAATGAGATTTAATTTAATTCAGGAAACAGGTTCTCACTAATTCTTTCAGAGAATTTTTCATGATAATCATTTGCACAAAGGCACAGGCCATGACTGACAGAGATGATGTGGCCACCAGCTTACTACAGAGTCAAAAAATCAGGCACCTGACCCACTGGATGACTCAGAAAGAGGCATTAGCTGCCCACGGATCCCATACAGCCAACGGAGAGAGCAATTAACTAGTGACTAGAGAGATTAAACTCCTCAGAAAGGTAATCCACACAAAAGACTTGCATGCAGAGCTGGAAGCTGCATAGGTCTAGCTAATAAAAAAGCTGAGAAAGGGATGGGTTTGAACACTTCTCCCTCTCCGGAGCTTAAACATCTCATTTGCAGCTGTGTGTTACATGCTCCTGTGCGATTCACAGCCTTTTGTCAGAAGAAAGCACCAATTCAGCAGCTATTATTTTAAAGCGGGGGCGGGGGAGGGTGGTGATGATTACACCCACCTCAGCTTGAAGTCATTCAGGAGCGCACCTCTCATCTGCCAGCAAAGTGTCTTGCGTAAAAAGCGACCAAGAGATGGATGTGCTGGTCCCTCATCCTTCCTTCCTGGGCTGGGCCGGGTGACTGCTCAGTTATGAATGTGAGAGGAAAAAAGTGATGGGCAGAGGCGGTCCATGGGCACCAGTGACCCCTGTCCCGGGTGGACGCTGCCCTCCCTGTCCCCATTTCGGTGCCCACGCTGAGCCCAGCGCTGCCAGCAGTGTGAAGGCAGGGCACCGCAGCGGGCACCGCTCCATGCCCCCAGCCCACACTGACTCCAGGGGCTGAGGTCACGCTTTGCACTGATTTGCAGGACCAAAATCCCAGGGTATCCTGAGATTAGGGATGGTGTGTTTTCAGCATTGTTTCCCTTAGCTTAGGGGTCTGTGGGAGTCTTTGCCTCCCGTTACGGGACAGAAGAGTCCCTTTTCATCTCACCCTGGCAGTAATAGATTCAGTACAATTTATGCAGCAATAGATTGCAGGTATTTACTAACACCTGCATAAACCAGCAATAAAAAAATGCCTTTTCTGTAATTTGGGATGAGTGGAACATTAAAATACGTAAAACCAACCCTTACAATCAGACTTGCTACAGGATTTTCTCCAACCGTTTTATAATGTGCCTATGCTCAACTTTCTTCTTTTTTAAGCATTTCATGTAAATGTACTTCCTTTTACCAAGGACACAACTTTCCTTGTTGCTAGACCCAGACTGTACTTTTTTAGAAAGGAGAAAAACAGCTTTCCAGCTTTCTGGTGTCACCGGGTAATTTTCCAGTAAACCGCGAGAGGGCAGGTTGTGTTCTCTATACAGGCTGCTGCAGCCAGATTTTTACAAGCAACAGTTAAGAGCCGTCACAGTTTTAAAGCCCTAATTATTAAACTAAGGCCCAGCGAGTGGAAAGAGTAATGCACGGACCTTTGACCTAGCATTTTTTATGTGCATAGTATCAGTCTAATGCCCTCATTGCTTTTCTTCTGGAAAGGAAAACACCTTTCTACTCAATTTACAAGTGAGAACTGAGCAACTCTCCCTTGTTTTACTCACCCGCTCTTAGGCAAAATCAGTTCTAACAAGTTAGCTGCTATGCTACTTTTTTTACATTTCTCCCCTGGCTCTCTCCTTCCTCTACCCCACTGCCACTGCCACTTGCCCATAACCAGGGCAGCTTGCAAAGCAAACACTTGGGACAGCAGTATCCAAACCTCCAAGGTGGTGAAGCCAGTTAGGCACACACTATGCCCTGTGAGCCCAAGGAAAAATCTCATTCACCCTTGGCAGGACCAGCCTAGCCTGTCTCCTAAACTTTGGCATTCACATCACGTGAAGGACAAAAAGGTGTCAATCTCCATCTAACATCATCTCTCTACATCGGTATTTAGCAGTAACTAGTGCCATGTGAAGACTCATGGTCTTGTAGTGCTGGAAAGTGGCTGACATCTCCTTGAGAAGGGCATGTGGAGACCTCAGACCTGGCTGCAAACTGAGACTGATCAGGGTCCAACTGATCTGAGACATGCCCAAGCCAGGTCTCTGGAAACCTCAGCTGATGTCCTCAGCACCAAGTGACACTGGTCCCTACATTGTAAAAAACCCCAAAAGGCAACCTGAATTGGGAGCTAGGGTACTGGGCGAGGGGTTGTACAAAAAGTGCTCCAACCATTGACATCTTGGGCACGAGCCAGGAACAAGCGCGCTCCCCCCGCACCACAAAACAGCAGAAATGGCAGCAGATCGTTGTCCACCTCATGCGGCAAGGGCTATCTGAGTGTGTGGTGAGCAAATCATAACTTTTCTTTGCCCCAAAAAGTCTGCATTTTAGAGGTAAGCTTTGGGAGTTACACATATTCAAAGCTAAGTATATGTGAAGACCTACTGAGATCTTCTTTCTAGTCCACATGGCTAGTATTGAGCAGGCCTAGAAGAAATACCAGAAATCGTTAATAACTGGAATTTTTTATTGAAGGCTACAAAAGCAGAGTTTTTCTAAGACTCAGGACCTTACAAAAGGCAAAACCTGAGCACTCCATTAATGTAACATATTGAGCACCAAAGCTGACACAATCTGTTTGGGACTTCATTTGCTATGTAAAAACCCTGTCTCAAGATAACATAGGAGAGCCACCCAAATGTAGTCCAAATCTATGTCTAAATAAAGAAGTAAATATGGACTGTGTAAAGGAATGCTTAAGACGGGGTCTAGGGAGTGCCACATCCAAACCTGATCCCCCACTTGCATACCTGGGTAATGCGAGCTATCTCATTGTGTCCTGGGTCCCAGACTTTGGAAATGTAAGTGAAATTCATGAAACAGTGCAGCAGTGCCAAAATAGAGAAGGACAAGCACCATTTTCAACTTCTGTCACAGGTCCCTAACATAGAGGTAAAACACAAGTGTATACCTAGCTGTCAGGGAACTCCTGCTCTTACATTTTAGGAGAATTTGTGTTTGGAGGTTTACCTACTGCTAACATCAGCTTGATTGGAAATAACATATGGAATTGACCATGCTTCTGAAATAAACTGTAACCAGGGGGTTCCTATAGTATTTTGTCAAACAACATGAAACATTTTGAACCTTAAAAAAACACTATGTTATTCAGAATATTTATTGATAACTGTAAAATAATGTGTTATTCAAATATATATGTAGAGTTAATAACTTTCAGCACATCTCTGAGCTGCTAAATGAAATCAAAAATACATTGAGGTGAAAATTTATCTTCGTTATTCAAGCTGGTTTTCTTCTATTTGGATTCTCAGCTGTCTTGATCTAAATCTATAGAGGATGACTTACAAGTGTCACACACTCCAGATACAACGTTTGGTAATGAGGAAAGTCTGGCCTGTCTTGGGCCTTGCACATATGTACCCAGAGATTTCATATATTACAATTCACATGATAACAGGAAAACCTGAATGAGAACAATGTAGCCAGCTGCCGAAGGAGTGTGTGATAAACTCTCAGCTAAGATCTCAATAAGGCAATCAAGGTCACTTCCTACAAGAATAAGGAAAGAAACAAAGCGAGGGCACTAGGCCTCTTCTGTGTACTTTTTGGGGCTGAAGCTCACATTCATCAGTGGTTCAAAACCTCTTCTCTGCCTTCGGTGCTGGAAAAGTACAAGCAGCAGAACGAGCATGGCCAGAGCGATAAGTGCTCCTCCAATTGTGGATCCAACCATGACAGCCCATGCTTGGGTTTCTTCAAGTGAATCTGGAAATACGAAACGTCTGAAGTGAGGACAGCCCATAATTTCATTTCTCAAATCACAGGGAAGAAAGAAAATATCCCACAGCCTGGTAATTATGATTGATTACTTGTGTGGCTTAGAGACCCACTGGCCACAGGCGAAGCTGGTAATGCACCGTGTAACCAACACACATACCAGAGCCAGAGATGTTTCCTGCCAGAGAAGTCTACAGCTGAATTTGAACTTTAACCTTTCATACAAGTTAAAGTGCTGAGAACGGGAAAGATTAACAGTGACAAGACAAAAAGATCATTTTCTTACCTAATTTGGCCAAAATTATAAATGATTTAAGCAATTCTTTCTATAATGACATTTCAGCATAGCTGTTTCCAAGCTATTTCGTCAACAGAAAACCCTCAAATTTTCCTGTAGACCACAAAGCAGCCTATTGTCAACTTAACTGAAAACACTACTTAGTGTGGTTCTGCCGACCAGCTCCAGATAGTATCCTCTGATTTTGAACCACTTCTGGGGAACCACTTCTGCCTTCTAAGATAATGTTGCCAATTCGTATAATAACCCTGCTCCACTTGGCTGAATAACTTTATTTTGTGAATTCATTTATGCTTTCAGAAGCAAAAATTGCCTGCAGTCCTGTTCTGAAAAGTGCTACATATACCAAGATGGCAATAACTACATTTGCCTAAATATTCAAAAAAAACTCTCAAAAGGGCTTAAGATATTTAGAAGGTACTTGGACTTATGGGCTTAAATCCAGTTGGCTCAAGGAGATGTCACACTGACTATAAAAGTGACTAAAAGTTGTGTGCCCCAGTCTGCAATCTCTGTCAACAAAAGAGTTGAGGTCAATCATGCCCAAGTTCAGTAAGGTCCCAAAATGAATTTTTTACCACTTTACCATCTCTCAAGTAAGAGCCAGCAATATATTACGTATGTTGATTTCTAATGTGTTTACATGAAGTAGAATTAGCAAGTTATATATTTAGATAAAAGAGAAGCGTTTGGATGTAAAAACTTTATTGCCTGACCACTGACCATGCAGACAGAGATAGATACGCTGCTTCACCGCGAGCTAACAATTTATTTAGGTGGGAGTTGAAAAGCAGCAGAATCACAAGCTGCCTTTTTTCCTCTCTGGGTACCTCATGCCCAAGGGGCAGCAGCATTTCCAAAGCAGGAGGGGGGGCAGTGGTCCAGACAAAGTAAAACTTAAACTCCGTAAAAGTTTAAATTTTCAGGGGAAATTCTGGGACACCCCTAAGAAAAGCTACTGCAGAAGCAGGTAGCATGCCTCCACAAGCCAGGGTTCCCCTGCACGAATGCAGCCTGAGAACATGGGTTTCAATCTTTTGCAGTCTATAGAGTTTTAAACAGTCTCCACAGATTAAAACCACAGATATGTGGTAAGCATTTATAAGAAATTTCTGGCCACATAGGTTAGATAAGCACCTAGTGCCTCTCAAAGGAATACTGAAGTGGGGAAAGAAACTGCTCAGATTTAATCTTTGGTGAAGCATCTGAAGCATTTCTTACTCTTGTGCCTTTTACAAATATTTGTAACTCGTATTGCAAATTTTGGATTTTGTGCATAAATACTTTGCTTTCTTGTTTTTTGTCTTTATCTGATTTGTGCCAAAGGTAATTTCAAATGAACAGACAAACCCTAAGGCACATCACACCTATGGGCATGGAAAATCTTTACAATTGGGGTTTTATAACACAAAACACCCAGGTACATCTCCCCAGGGTATCCAAAGATTAATGGAGCTCATCCCTAATGAGATTCACGGCACAGTATTATTCAGGGCCCTGTGCAAAACAAGTGTTTTCTAATGACTGGTTAGCCAGAGGAGCTCCCTGGCGGAGTGACTGACCTCTGAAAGGTTAAAGGATCCTGTAACAGGCATAAACAGTGCTGGGAGCAGGAGCCAAAATCAAAGACTCCCCAACCCCAAAGGAGCACCGTCGTCAATGCCGGAGCAGTTCAAGTTGATCCATTTTGCAGCAGAGCGAACTAAGTACGTGCACGCTTGTAGTTACCACGGCTTACCTGGTGAGTTGTAACTACCTGTGCTACAATATGTGATTGCTAGTGAGCAGGTGAATAGACCCAAGTTTTGTGAAAAGTGCCTTATTTTCCAAATGCCTGTGTCATTGAAAACGTGAACTGTCTCATCTCTTTGCCTGGAACAGCCTCCACACCTCTGAGACGTACCTGGCAGGTCAATGGCATAGGTGTAGCCGAGCTGCTCCGCAGTTTGGAAGAGCTCGTCGTTGGTCACAGGAGGGAAAAAAGGGACCATGTTATACAGTCTGTTGTGACCGATGGGGGCCAGCTCCTCAGGCCAGGAGTTGTCCGGGGGGCTAAACCGCTTCATCCACTCGTCAAAGATGGCATCAGTAAAGGAGTGAAGAACCTGCAAATCCAGGCATGGGCACCCACATTTATTAAACTCCTTCAGGACCCAACAGCATTTAAAACACTCTCGCCTAAGATGGCAGCAGCTTTTGAAAGAGAGAGAAGAGGGTAATCTAATTTAGGTGGGATTTACAGAATGGGAAACCAGGAAAGCTCATGAGAATGAAGTAAATTGATCTCCTGCATGGGACATTTTGCTGTATATGTCCTTGCTGCTGCTTGTTCATAGTAAGCTCTTTCTCTAGGCGGTTTAATACCAGCTGGCATTGAATGGGCAGGTCTGTCCTCTCGGGTGAGGGCCCGCTGAGCTCATTCAGGTGAATGTACCTCTCAAACATATTTTAATCTCTCTCGTCTCTGAACAGGTATGGAAAATTGCTTTCTTCACGCTCATTTTAGAGCGTGTCACCAGCTCCACAGCTCCAGGTACCCATGAATTTGATCAGGTCTTGCCCAGTGAGTTTATAGGTATATAAAGCACTAATACAGGAAAGTTGTTTCCAAGTTGAGTCCAGACAATTATTACAAATGTCTGGGGTGGTTCAAATTAATTTCTGATGTACTCATGTTTTCTAATTATCACCCTAGAAAAAATCTAGAAAATATCTTACAGAAAATAATCTTGCCTATAAAATTACAGCATAATGAAATGAAGATTTCATTGTGTAAGAAAAGAATTTAATGTAGGAATTCAAGAATTACTAAGGAAATAAGCTGGAGAACCACTACATAAGTATTTGCGCTAATTTCTCCAACAGAAGATTGCAATCTTAAAATAAAGGTAAGAAAGAAATTAATTGTATTGGAATTTCTCTATATAATCACTGTGGTTTAATCTAACAAAGAGGAAAAGAAATTGGCATGAATTTATTAGGAGGGAAAGATGTGTAAGCAAAGTTAACTGTTTCATTTGCACATTGCTGTTTGTGCTGTTCATTGCAGTGCGGCACTGTACCAATGCACCAGTGAAATCACATTATTTCTATTCCCCAAGAGACCCTGAAATTAGATGGGTTTCCTTTTAGCCTGTGAAGTTTTAAACAAACAAACTACTCAGTCTACTGCTCTAAAATAACTAACCCCACTTTCAGTTTTTCTCGTTGCTGTAAAATGTCTGGTATAAGCCATTAAATTTAGATACCACTTAATTGGAGGATTCAGGGCAACATGACTTGGAATAGCAGGTCTTTTCCCTAAAAACTTATTTTATATTTCACAAATGACCCTGAGATTTCTTCCCTCTTTGACCATTATGCAGGCGTGACAGTGTTCAAGAAAAGAGAAAAGATTTCTCCTTTTCTATTTACAGGGCTTATTTTTAGGGAATTCACTTTACTTCTGTTCTGCAAATCTCTGCCGAGACAGCTGCCTTTGAGCCACCGCCACTGCCACTCAGGCTGGGGGAAAAAGACATACCACGAAGATGGGATCATTGGCGGCTG